ATTATGTCTTCCAGTACCGCGAACACAGGTTGATACCAGCGAGACTGGAGGCTGGTGCTACCGCCACCCATGTTACATCTAGTGAGTTCGGAGAGCTCTCGTCTGCGTACCTCCAGAGAAGTGGCCCAGACGAGCTATCAAGTGCCAGTGGCACAGGAGGCACAACCGACATATTCGGGAGCTCTTCATCCTCAACGCCCACCTACGGGTCTCCCGAAGACGTTCGAAAAGCAATTGAAGAACTACGCGATGCTCTCCCTGGAAAGAATCGCGTTCAGACCAGTCCAGATTCCCTCCGAGTGCATGGCTCCTCCGACCATTCGTATCACCCGAGTTGTCCTCACTCGGTTGTAGTCATGGCACACACTACAGACGACGTGGTGAAAGTCGTCAATATCTCTCGCAAGTACAGGGTTCCCATCATTGCGTTAGGCGGCGCTACGAGTATAGAGGGTCATTTCACCGGTGTAAGCTTTGAGCAGTCATATTTCATTACTTGGGTGATGCTGATGTTCATAACGATCAGTTTCCTTCAGGTAGCATATGCCTTGACCTGTCTGCAATGAATATGATTTTGGAAATCAATGGTATGACACGATGTTTCTGCTTCGTTCCAGCACCGATGCTCACGGGACTGTCTGTAGAGGCTGATGGTGATCTGCGGTGTCAACCTGGAGCAAAATGGGAAGACATAAACAATACACTAAAAGACAGGGATATTCCTCTATTCTTCCCTGTGCGTATACTTCACCGTGGCCCATGAATTCACCTTGAATTTGAACAGCTTGATCCAGGTCCTGGAGCTGTAAGTCATTCTGCATCCCAAAAATTTCACATTCGAATCTTGACTGGCTACAGACCATCGGTGGCATGATTGGTACAGGGTGTTCAGGAAGTTGGTGCCTTCTTCTGTTGTTATAGTCCCGCACATGTTAACCCCAATACAGCCAATGCAGTCAGATATGGAACTGCTAAAGCAGAATGGTTTCTTAATATTGTGAGTCCAATCCAAGTCTTTTGAAGAATGTTTTGGGATCACCCAAGTCGGTACTAGACGGTTGTCCTTCCATCTGGGAAAGTGATCAAGACTCGCCGGCGGGCGCGCAAGTCTTCCGCTGGCTTCGATATCACGAAACTTTTCATCGGTGCTGAAGGAACGCTTGGAATAGTCACGGAGGGTAAATCTGGCATTCAGTATTCGGGATGACATTCTAATTCTAATACTATTTCAGCTACATTGCGATTGGCTCCTAGAGTACCTACCAAGGTTGCTATGGCGCAGTTCCCTGACGTCGAAAAAGCGGTCAGCGCTGTTCAGCAGATCCTTAATACTCCATACGGTCCCAATATACGTCAGTGGCAAGTTAGATCTTGTTTCATTTGCTGAAACATTCACTTTTAGAATGTGTGGAGCTGTTGGATGATCACAGTGAGTAGACTAGTTTCATGTCTTGGGTGTTACCTCAAACGCCTTCAGTGATGGCGGCCATTAACACTGCTGGGGTGGTTGATGCTCCTTATCCGGTGCAGGATACTCTCTTCTTCAAGATCCAAGGATCCCCTGAATCTATCCGTGACACCTCCAATGTCGTGCAAGAAATTGTACAACGTCATGGCAGCACTCGATTTGAATTCGCAGCAACAGAGGAGGAGGCAGGTGAGATGTGGGAAAATCGAAAATATGTACGTCAACCGCGATTACTTTAGCATGATATTAACTGTTTAATCCTAGGCTTTTTTCTCGACATTAGCGACACACCCTGGTTCAAAGGTTTGGACAACTGATGTTTGGTTAGCCTTCCCGTTCTTTATTTTCAATGATATGTATGACGTGGGTTACTTTATAGCGTACCGGTTTCTCGACTTCCGCAGCTAGTCTATGAAACCAAAGAGGATCTTGCCAAGGCTGGTTTGAAATCGACTATTGTTGGGCACGTTGGTGACGGTAAGGGCATCAAAATTATTGTTTCGTTGTGTATCAATAAGTTATGCAGGTAACTTCCACGCACTCATTCTATTCAAAGACGAAGAAGAACTACGGAGCGTCGGAGCAGCGGTTCACAGATTGGTCCATCGCGCCATCCAGATGGATGGGACATGTAAGTGTTCCATGTGCCTCAGGCGTGTTGTTTTTAAGACTTCTCTCTCTAGGCACGGGCGAACACGGTGTGGGGGTAGGCAAAACAGAGTACCTTGTGGAAGAACTGGGCGAGGATACCGTGGAACTGATGAAAACCGTCAAAAACGCCATCGATCCTCTGAACTTGTTCAATCCTGGAAAGGTGCGTCATTCAATTTCCGAAGGCTCTTTGAAGCAGGGCGACACTAATTGCGTTGCAGTTGTACCCAGAAAATAACGAGGACAAGACACATAAATGATTTGATCGCTAGTGGCGTAAATTTACCGACCCTCCGGGCCTCCGAGTCCGAGGACAGCTTACTTCTTAGAGCTTCTTGAATTATACATTCCATATTCACGATGACTGAAACTTTCGTACACCTGAGAAGCGGCATGCACCTACCAGATGGGAAGCGAGCGTGATCCCACGTTGGCACTCTTCCTTCGCCCACCTTATTGGGAGTGATCACAAGCTCTTCCAAGTGAGCCAGGTTTAATCTAAAGACGACATGGGCACCAAAACAGAAACCTTAGATTCAGCGAAGCAGCAATACTCTTGCAGAACCAATCAAGTTGACCTCATGTCTGTCATCCAGTTCTTGCTGAGCCCCTTTTTCCGTTACACATGCCTCGGTGGGCCGCCCCTGCATGATGTCTGTCATGGGGTGTTCTAGAATTTCCTGTTAACATCTCTGTCCAGTGCCCAGTCTTGTCGCAGTCATCGAAAGTAAATGATTTTTGTTCCGCCTCGGCATCGACATCGCACGCAATTGAACTATACACACCAGAACGATATGGCTCAGTCTACCACTTTTAATTCTTCCACCTTCAGCTTTCAAGTCATCCTCAGTCACATTGAAAGAGCCAATGACCGAAGGAGTGTCTATTTTCCTGACTGTCAGACTCACTCTGTCCTTAGCTTGCGTGCATTCTTCTGGCCTCCGGCCACATTAATACTGTTCGTTTTGTGGTGAATCCCGACAGTTTTGGTCAGTCTGTCGAGAATATAGGTTAGCGCGTACGCATCTCAGGGACATATCTAGATGTTTCTGACACAACCCTCATGAGACATGAAGGTGAATTGATTTTCATGGATAGACTACTTATCACATAAAAAGGGGGTTTCGGCGCAATGATTGGGCCTAGTTAAGATGGACCTCCGAGGATCTACACACCGTAAAAATGTTGTCAGCAGGTTTCGAACCAACTGCAAGAGAAACAGATTTTGACTCTGCTGTGGTAACCACTTGGCTTTGAAGACCAGTCAGATGGAACTCCGAGAAAACCATCCTAATCTGAGTCAATGTCAAAGTGTGCTCCGATAGGACAAAAAAACTATCGTTCAGCAGGTTTGAACCCGCGTAGTCCGTCTCAGATAAACAGATTTTGATTCTGTTCTACTTCGCCAAGACCAGTTATAAGATGGATCTCTGATGAAACCATCCATGAGTGGAATGTCAAGGTATGTTCCGATATAAAAAAACCTTGTCGACGGCAGGTTTCGAACTTGCGTCGTCCAAGATACACAGATTTTGATTCTGTTTTCGTAATCACTTACCAAGGCCACGGACGCTTCCTATGAACCTCGCTCAGGTCCATGATGGATGAATGTGTGATAAGGGGGGAAATCATTTGTCAGCAGGTTTCGAATTTGCCAGCTGACTACGACTACTTCAGATGGGCCATGATGCATGAAGGATTTATCCATGAAATGTTCAAGGTCTGGTAAAATGAAAAGGATTGTTGAGCAGGTTTTGAACCTGCAACAGATTTCTGTCCTGTCACGCTTACCACTTGTCTAGGACTAGCTGGTGACAGAACTTATCAGCAGAATCACATAGGATTAGCAGTCATCTGCTAAAGCAAAATGAAATAAAAAGACTAGATTGCGTTTAATTTGAGAGACACAGAACATGTTAGGAATAAGCGAGTCGGGGGCGCGCTGTTATGATCTTATATAAATCCCCTGTCCTCCTGCTTATTTTAGACAGTGGTCACCTCGCTTTGAGGAAGCGAGAACATGAGGACCTGATGTGTTGTATACTATTTTACCTTGTAGTGCAGTTCTGAAGATCTGATACCCCATAAATTTAATTTAGTGTTCAGTATTAACTTAAGGGGCAATGTTTGAGGATACCATCCTGGCAGTGCTGATTGACAGCTACACACGTATGACCGCCATGAAAAAGAATGTTATGTGTAGACCCACATTCACTGCACACGCAATAAAACGTTTTCAACGGAGGGGCATCACCAGCTAGTACATGTGGAGAGCAGGACGTTGGTTGTATTACCCTATAGCTGCATCACAGTATAAGGGTCAATTCGATCGCAAAAATAGTTGAAACAGGATTCCTACTGAACCTTATCGCCTCCGTGATACATTTAGGTTTGGCAGCAGGGGGTGACATGAGACATGTTTTACGGCCGCCAATAACATTAATAGCCTATCAAATCGTCAGCTCGAGTTCCCCACGTCACACCACCTCCGAGGATCTGCTTCTTTGATCTCCAGGGGTGAGATACGGTCTGACTAATTGTGTCGGAACGGTCCGATGTCATAACGTTTCCGGAATTAATGGAATATCGTAATTGAGAATGCAGAAAGGATAACTTGCTTGAAAGATCCATTGTAAATGCGTAAGGAGAACTGCTCGTACTTGTACTACTGATCATGTTCGTCGGGAAGCCGTGGCAGGTGATGTGTTCAGCGATGAAGCTTGAAATCACATCAACGCATCACATCGCCGTGATATAAAACTCAGCTCTATGGAATGACTTTGCCGGGGTTCATGATATTCAAAGGATCAAAAAACCTGCTTGATTTTCCTCATCCAGTCAATGCTAACATCGCTCTTAGAGTAATGCAGCGCATCCCTCTTCATCGATCCAATGCCTGCTCTGCGGACACGGAGCCCTTGCGATCAGCTGAATTCAGATGCTCGTCAACAACCGCGCCAATGAATTGCTGGGAGAAGTAATACGCACCGACAATTTCATAAATGAAAGGCTCCAGAGCTGCCTCAAGCTCCGGGCGGTATCCATGCTTGGCGATCACATTGAGATGCAAATTTCCTACGAAGGAATAAGTGGTCTGGGCCTTCAGGTAGGGTTGGAGAGATGATAATACCGTCACCGACGTGGCCGTATCCCATGACCTTGGAAATCGCGTGGTCTCCATAAAGCCCTTTCGAAATCATGCGTTCCCGAACAGCATCGACGACTTTTTGGAAGTCTGCAAGGGGACAGAAACATCGTATTTGTATGGTTTTCCTTCTTTCTGAACACACTCAGTCAAGCCTTCACGCAGAGCCCATATCGAGTTGAATTGAGTGGGTGACTGGGAAAGAACACCGGTGTTAATCAGCGGTTCATCAGCGGTCAACAAGCTTTCCAGAAGATTGTTGAGTTTCTGGATTATCCAAGGATTAGTTCACACGCTGACCACACGGAAAATGACAGCACCTCTAAATCG